CGCTCGGCCCTGGTCTATTCCCGTGGCGCGTCTGAAGCGACGACGTCCCTGCACCCGGTGCCATCAGTTTCCGAAGAACGCGCGCCCCGTGCCTGTCGCCTTTGCCGATGATGGCGACAAGCCACACAGCACTGGGCGCGCGGTCAGCAATGCGTCCGTGCATAGCTTCTCCTGCATTGCTGCAGTATGCAGCAATGCAAGAGAAGCCATGCAGCAATATGGTATCCTATTTGGCTGTGACAGCACGTGAGTGACGCAAGAAGCAGCAGTGCGCACAGGAGCAGCGGCAGCGCAAGGCGGCAAGCGCAAGAGCGGCGGCGCGTGCAAGAGCGGCAATGCTCAAGGGCAGCGGCACGTCATCCGACGGTTCCTGCCGCGCTTGGGAGGCACGCGCCGGTCCCTCAGGAACGGCATCTGAGATCCCGATTTACAGGTTACCCGACGACGATGCCACAAAGCTATAACTTCACGCCTCAGTGCACCTCGGTCCACGCATTCCACATCATCCAGATCAAGTACTACATGTATTCATACAATAGAGAGTCCAGCAATATATTCTACAACTGCAGCAACGTTACCTTGAGCTTCCTCACTGCCTTCGTCGTCATTCTCGTCATTCTCGTCGTCACTTATGTCTCCACCAGTACCACGGACATCATCTGGACGAGTCAGCAATGGCGGAATTTTGTCGACTGTGAGCTGGACAGAGGAAAGGCGCGCCTGACTGACCATATCAACTTTGGCCTCTCCGGACCCTTGAGTGCCGGTGTATCCAGGTAGGTCGTAGACTTGGAAGACGCGCCGCAGTAGGTGGTTGTTGACAGCCTGGCGACGCAGGGCGAAGTCTTGCATGGCACCGTACAGTTGATGCGAGCAGCCCAGACTGGCCAGGGCTGCTCTTAGCAGCTTGTCCTCATCGATAATGGCGGTGTGGAGACGGCGGACCTCGATATTAAGGCGCTCGAGTTCTTCGTTTGCGCGTGCGACGCGGCGATACATTTTGATTGTCTCACGGGTGATAGGCTGCGCCCATGGTTTCTGACGGACATCGTTCCTGGTATCCTGAAGGAGCGAAAACTCCTCCAGGAAGGCGTAGTGCGTGACCTCTGACCAGTCGAGCGTTGGCCTTGGTGGGTTCATGGTTACAGCAACGGCGTTGTAGTCGGCGACAGCCTTCTTGATTGTCTTGCTACGGACCTGCAGTGATTTTGCAATATGTGTGCGCATCTTGTAGCCTGCGCAACTAAGTCTTGGTGTAGGATAAACCTGAAAATCACATACCGGTATGTGAAACATTGAGCTTTTGAAGCTCAAATAACCGCTGCACGACAAGACGATGAAGCTTGTCGAGGGCGCGCCGATACGTCTGTTCGCAAATGTACTTGAGAGCCTCCTGATATGCAGGTGTCGTTGGATCCCAATGTTCCTGGATGTCCATCTTGATCTCGAGAGCGACGACCTCTGCACTGACACGATCGTATTGTTCTGCCGCAACTCGCCGCTCTGTCTCCAGCTTGCGCATCCGGGTAACATCGCGGGAATAAGCCTGTTTTTCAGCTGATGGTGCGTGGGATAAGAATGTGGTCTGCGTTCGTTTGAGCTTCGGCTCTAAGTCGCGCAGCTTCTGGAGCAGCTCAACGTACAATGTTGAGTGGATGTCGTAGTCAAGCTCGTCGCCCAGCGTGGCAAAATACGCAAGCTCCTCGTCGCGCCACCGGGTGATGTCACCTGCGGTGATTCCCTGCTGCTCCATACTTTGCCTGAGGGTCTGGCCTTCGATGTCGACGATCTCCAGCGCCTGCGTGTAGTTGTCGAGAATGAAGTCGCCCGAGTTCAAGTATTTGTCGGCATCCCATTGCTTAAGAAATGCTTCGATCAAAAGTCTACGGCGGTAAGCAGAGGCATACCGAATGACAGGGGCGAGGTCATTCAACCTGCTGAAGACCCTCTCCATCGTTTCGAAATCCTCGATGCCGGCGCCCTCGATAACGTTCGGGTGGAAGCGAAGTTGGCAGATGTGGGAGTGCGAGTAGCCATGGAAGGCGTTCACGCACATGCGTGCGTGTTTCTTGACATACTCAGGGCCGAGGGAGCTGTTCTTGACAGTTATTTCCACGGAACAGCCAATGTCGTAGCCTGCAAGCCACTCGTCAGGCATTGTTTCGAGGGCCTTCGCAACAATTGCAAGAGGATATTTAGCTCTATTTAGCATAGGTTAGAAGAGTAGTGTAGAGGAAAGCTCAAGGACTCACAATTCGCCGCTATGCACCATATCGCACAGCCAGAGAATAAATCCATGGCGGCACGCGGAAGCAAACACGCCTGACTCCTCATACATCTTCCACATCTTCTTCTTTGCCTCGGCCGCAGCTGCCTTCCAGTTATCGACGCATTGATCAAGGAGTTTGTGCAGGAGTGCGGCCTGCACCTTGTCGATAATGGTCGTGTCACCAGCGGGCACAGTAGAGTCGCCTGCGTTGCCAACAGGTGCTACAGAATCGCTTGCAGGGGTTGCCATGGCAATATCGATGTGCTTGTTACTGTCGTCAGCTTGAGTTCGCTTGGTGCTTTCTTCAAGGAGCGCCAAAGCGACGCCGTCCGTGGGGTCCCCTTCCAGCTTGTCAACGTCCTCCCAATCGGCCTCTTCTCTGTCTTCGTCTTCCTTGTCGTTGATAGCATGATGGACCTGGTGCCGGCGCGCATCTAGCTGCTTAGATTTACGGCCCGGGACCTCGTTTGCGAACCGGTTGACGTAGGATGTGGACAGCCAATAGGAACTGTCGTCGAAAGAGCGCATGTCGCCTGTCACCCAGTTTGCCACCGTTGCCATCTGCTTGAGGCTGTTGTTACCGTCGAGGGACCATAGTCGACTAAATGACAAAGGCGGTTCATCTTTAAGCTAAGTTAAATGTGAGATTTGTGCAACTTTAGACGTATGGTGCACGTACCTTATAGCAGCACGCGCGGCAGCGTTCAATGGCTGCCAGTCAGGGGCGTCCCATCTAAGGATGGCATGCAACCGTTTCTCCACAATCCGTGTGATGCGGAGGTAGACTTCGAAAGTATCTGCAAATACCTTGCGAAGGTATTCACGATATGGAATCTGTGCGAGATATTAATCAGTTGTAACCAGGTCAGAGTATAGATACGTACCATGTAGTAGTCGCAAACCACCTTGGCAAACGCTTCAATAATGAATGAAGCTTTTCGTTGGCGAAGTCGGTATAGCAGATCCAGCGTCTTGACAGAGACAGCCACTTCGGGCCGTCCGGGTGTCTTTGCGATGTACCCGTGCTCAAGCAGATCAAGAGTGGGCGAGGTGCTGTCAGCAGGGCGGAAGACGGTGATCTCATTTTGAAGGGTGAAGATGTCGTAGGTTTTGATGCAATATGGGAGTCGCACTGATTCGTCGATGGGCTGGGGGCTGCGAGCGTGAGTGTCATCAATCAAGGTGAAGTGTGTCTCTGTGGACCGGGGCGCAGTTGACTCTGCCCTGCTTGGCGAGCATTCGGGAGGCGAATTTGATGCAGGATACTTCCATCGGAGGAACCGGTCAGCCAGGGCATCGAGAAGAGGGCTCCAAGCAGCCTCTTCGCGCATCCGCTGTTGGCGCCACCGTCTAGTTTGTTTATACCAGCGTAGCTTCCACCTGTAAGCAGTTTTGTGAGCTCCATGAAGGAAAGAAACGGGAAGATTAATGACCTACTGCGACCGCAGCACATCGCGAATTGCGTGTTGAAATTTGGGTGCTGCGGGCATATTATCGTCGACACCATCTTGATTGATTCCGAGTTGTTCCAGGTCCTCTTGTGCAGCGAGATCGATGTCCATAGGCTGTTCTTCTTGTGTGCCTTGTCGAAGGAGGTTGACGGTGTCTTGGCTGTATCCTATTAACGCGCCATCAGCGATGCAACGTTAGACAGACAGATTGTGTACAGACTCACCAGTAAGAGCTTTCTTGATCTGCTCTTCCACCCAAGCCTTCTCTTTTGCGAGTGCTGCACGCCCCAATGTCTTCGATATTGCTCCTCCTGTCGTCGCTGTTGTACGAAGCCTGTGCTCCCACGGTTTGACGAAAGTCGACTTTTTCACTTCCTTCGCGCCACCGCTTCTTACTGATGAGGTCGACATGGGATCCGGACCACGTATAACAGATGTTATTGTGGCTTGGAGCGAGGGGGAAGGAGGGGAAGGGCAGGATGACGCGGTATCAGTCGAGGTTGCGAGTTAACGTTGCGAGCGCCAGTTTGCCGCTCAAATCCTCGTGTTCATCTGGCGTGCACGACTGCGTCTACACGTCTGCGGCTCGCCGTGCATTTCCCCTTCGCATAAAAATGCCCAAAGAACTTCGTGAAAGTAGCAAACCACCCACACCGCGCGATAAAATCAGGGTGGTTTTATTGGGTAGCGGGAAGTACTCAGGCGTGTTCAAATGGAACGAGTGAGTGTTTTGAACTCTCACAGCCCGTTCTACGCTGAATACTTAGTTTGTAGATGGCCTCCGTATCCTACTGGCCCTGATGCCAGTCCTTTCCCCATGGCGGTTATCTGCACTACCGCCTGGCAAGTAAGTTCCCTTGAAGTGCTCCTCCCTTACTTCCAAATGATCTGCAACACGGATCTCTCCCAACGCCAACTGATCGAGGCGATCGAAGCACTCGCATCTCCACGCAATCCAGCGGCGGCCAAAGCTTTGAACACTAACAGGCAATTTGATCACTTTTATCCCTGCCTCGCTCCCAACGACGACCGAGAGGCTATCTACACGACATGGTGCGTATGATGATCTCTCGTTCGAAGTGGCCTTCACTGCTCAGTTATTACCTGTAGGGCGGACACACGTCCCCAATACCAAGGCCAGGAAAACCCCCGGTTGCCGAAGAAGCTGCCGACCTTGCTCTCGGCGATCGAGTTCATGATACTGCGGGGCAAAGATCAAATGGAAGTGGAGTCTATGGAAAGCTCGCGGCGCGAGTTCAATAAATTCCTACAGGCTATCGCAGATAGTAGGAAGACCGCTGCAAGCCGAGCCGAGGAGAGTCCGAACGGAAGTCACAATGTAGGACACGACGCGCCGAATCCAAACTCTCTGCACAGCCATGCGCCTCATCAAGACAAGGGCAAGAGCGGACATCAGCACTCTCACGCAGCCCCCATGCCATCTGCTGAATATGCGGCCGCTTCACAGCAGGCCCCCGTTGAGGTTCTTACCGACGACGAGGTTCCGGAGGCCGCGGCGAAGCACGCTTCTCAGAAAGGCAAGGCGAGACACGGTGAGTATTCGCGTTTCGTTTTGTGTGACATAAAGTCTAACGCACCGACTATCCAGCGTCCGAGACTGGCAGGCGTGAGTCTCACATTCTCCCAGGGTACTCTGGTGCCTCCGGCAACGTCAACATCAGCGATGCCGAGGAGGAGCACCAACCGCCCCCACGTCACACAGACACGTCTACACGGGACCCTCACGGTATAGTGCCCACTGACATAATACACAATTTGCTCAACCTCCGCTGTAGTGTATCAAAATTACCGGGACTTCACTGGGCAAATCACCGGCCATACCTACAAGTGCCCCTTCGACCTCAGGACCGACATCCATGTGCCGTCTCTCGGCACATTCCTCGACGACTACGTTGATCGTTTCGGCTATGAAACTAAGTTCATTCACAGGGTCTACAAGGCGTCAGAGAGGTCAACGGATCGATACGACTTCATGGCGCGCACAAGTCGCTTTTTATCCCAGCGGGAAGCGATATGGGTTCTACTCGCATATTGATAAGTTTTCGGCCCCTTTTGCAGCTCCCCTTCACAGGCGTCGCCTCGTAGCTGA